ATCAGCAACAGATTTCCATGCAGCAAACTCCTGGCCAAGAGCTGCATCCACAGTAATAGCAGAGCAAACTTCTGCAGCCTGGCCATGTGTCCCTGCAGAGAGCCCCGTGCCTGGCTGTGGAGGCTGCTGGGCTGGTTTGCAGCAGCGATTCAGCAACCTCTGCACTGGAGGAAGCCTCGACAGTCAGTTTCTATCTGAAGCTATCACTGCTAATGGCATTTTTCCACTCTGTCTAGTTTCATCACCTAACACATATTTGGAAAATGACCAAAATTAGCTTGCACAGAAAAGTGATAAAGAGCACAATTTAAAACTCGTAACTCTTAAATGAAAGTAGGCATGTAATAGCTGCTTAGCTTCAAACCCAAAAACTACTTCTTCTTGCTAACATTTGACATTCTTTAACAGGGTAAATTATCTAAATAGTTTGTGCTTTATTTAACAGAAATTTCCAGTAAACCTCATTCCATCACTCTGAGTTATGTCACTTCATGCCATGTGACATAAAGGCATTGATATAAGTTTGACAGGCGGTGGCAATGCTGACATGTCAGTCTGAGAATTTATGACAAATTATATGCTACAGATATTTTTAAAACTATTGTGGATTGCCAAGAAAGAAGTCTTTAAAATGTGTAATTACACTGGGTATATCTTTAGACTGAAAACAATATATTCACTTCACATAGTTACATTGATGCAGTGTTCCAGCTGACACTTAATAACAAAAAAAAAAAAAAGAAAGGAAATGTATATTGAAATTTCCCAAGCTACCTCCAGTTATATAGCAAAGGAAAATGAGATGTGTCGATGTAATACTTTTGTTATTTTTTTTAAACACTATGTCATTAAGTAATACTGTTAGCATTTAATAATTTGAAATAATCAATCTCAAATCTCAAGACAGGAAAGAAAGGCCCCACCTGAATAGAGAATGATTTGCTTATGAAAATTCTATTCCAGCAAAGACTACAGCAGGGGAGGGGTGTGTGTGTGTGCGTGTGTGTGTTTGTGAGGGGAGGAGGGGATATTTTTCACAAGAAGCAGTAATAGATCTAAAGCATACTTTTTTCTTTTTCTGGGTTTTGGGCTTTTTTTTTTGTAATCTCAGTTTTGTACAAATCAGGTCCTGCCTTATAATTTATTTGCAATCTCTGTACTTCAGTTAAAGCATGTTTAGATTAGTCATGTGTGAGCTTTCAAGCATCTATTTTATCTTCAAATTTCTTACTCCCATAATGGAAGAAAAAGAGACTGAATGCCTAAGAACTAATCAAATCAGTGAAACATAATAATTTCTTCAAGGCGGAAGATTCACTTATTAGAGGGGAAAAAATGAAAGAAAAGAAAAAGTAAACTCTATGTGCTAATAGGACAAAATTGTTTCGTACATTAATAATACGTTCATGTTGTAGAACACCAGAAAATTCTGTCTCCCTTAATATTGACCTAAATGTACCAGAATTCTATTAGTTCAATTCTTCTTTAATAGCTAACCATCCCAAAAATCAAATCCTGAAAACAGGCTCATGAATGAAATGAGTAAATATTTTGCAGTTGGAGATGACTGTATCTATAGAATCACAGCTAGCTGAACTTCATGCTGTAGTATTTTCACTCTAAAAGCTTTCTTCTTTCAGTGTATGTGAAAGGAGTTTGATTTTGGCCTAGTTTTCACTAGAGAGATGAAGAGGTGTCACAGGCGTGGCATCAGTTTGTACTGATAGCAGTATTTTCAAGAGAACGGCCTCTATGAACATCTTGTTTTCGACTGCTGAACATTTTCCTGGTAATGCCATGCTGCATGCTGCTAGAGCACTCCATGGCAGTTTAATCTGTTGCCACCTGATACATTATTATCCAGGGAATGTTTGCAGTAGATTATTGCATCAAGTTCTACCTACAGAGTAATCACAAAGGCATAGTCCAATTAGAAGGATGCCTTATGTTGGGTATTCTGAAATTAATTGCAACTGAAACAGGAGCTGGTTTACGATCATACATAATTGCCCACAGATGTTTGGCTTAGAGCTGCCCACCATTCTTCCAGTCAGGAGAATGTCTAAACTCTCAGACTCTGAAAAAGACAGTACTGCACAGAAAGCTAATTCCGCCTCTGTTCACTGTGACCATGTATCAGTTTGTTGCTTTTTACATCCACCTTTAGTAGCTTTAAAAGGGCCAGGAAAGAAGCAAAGCTATAGAGAGCCAAATCCATCTGGACAAAAAGACTACAGCTGGAAGCACTCTCCTGCCAACTTTGAGGACAAAGCTAAGTTCATGCTTGTCATAGTTTTTTAGCATTTGCATTCAGGCTACTTTTATACAAACTAAAATACAATTCTTCAGAAGGAGAATTGTGGCCTTTTCCTGAATGTTAACACAAGGACACTGTAAAGCAAGGACAAAATCCTTGTAGGAGGAAGGAGATGATGGAACAAAGCCTTCAGCTTCACTTAGGGGAGTTAGCACTTCTGCTGAGAAGGCTCTCCAGCTTTCTGGGAATTTCATATCATTGCACATCTCCGTAGCAGAGAACCTGACTGTCCTTCATCGACCCACAGACCTGATGGCTAAATCCTGTGCAAACACAGGGAGGGAGAGGTATACTCCGAGACATCCAAGCCCAGTGCCACAGACAGAACAGCAGGCAGGAGAGAACATGGAGCAGGAAGATATGATATTGTTCTCTCTAAGGAGGTTACATCCTGTGGGTTAGTACGTAAAGGAGCTGGTCTGAAAGCCACATCTCTGCTTCCTGTCTATTACAAAGGCAACTTCTGGCAAAAAGAAAAAAATCAGTAACACAGCTTTACCAGTCATGTTTGCAGACTATGAAGTGTTTAGAAGTTGCTAGGTGTGGAAGGCCAGGGTTTTGAAGGTGTATTTCATACAAATGTTGGAGGCACACAGGACTTGGAGATCACTCTTCTTACATTCACACTTTTCTGCTCAACAGCTTTCATGCCACAGTTTTCATGAACTCTGAATTCTTAGTGTGTTTGGGGTAGAGGCCAATAAAACTTCTACAGCTGAAAAGGGCCAGACTTAAACATGAGTGTCGCATGTGTTCTTTCAGACAGAACTTGATTGGCAACAAATAGGCTGGACTTGCCTTAAAATAAAACAAAAGCTGCTCATAAAGCCTCACCTTGAGCCTCCACCCAGAAACCTGGGAAAAGTAAAACAAACAACTTCATCTGCTCAGTCAGTTAATTTTCCTCATTCATAAGCACAAATCAATCGGTTTAAAAAGCACTAGTTTAACAAATGAAAAAAGAAAAAAGGAAAAACAAAACAGAAAAACAATGTGACATATTAAGGACATATATTTAGTGCTTGAAGTATAACTTTAACCATTTTTGCAGTGGTCTTCTCTGTTGGATCTGGCCAGCTGCTCGCCTCACTCACAGAGGGGCCTGCCCCACTGCCCCCTCTAGATAAGCATTGCAGCACCATTACTTGTAATTTCTCTTATTTCACCTTTTAGGCCAGAACATATGTGGCACTGGGAGCTAACAGTCTCTTTGTATACAGGAGGCTCTTCAACAGCTTCTTCCCTAACTCGCCAGAATTGTAGCAATTTCTACTTTGCAACAGACTCTAAAGAAAGCCACTTTTTTTTTTCTCTCTTCTTGCATGTAACTTTTGCCCTCTGATGCTGGAAACTATTGCCTTGATCTCTCACCCCAAGTACTCCTAAGCATAGCTAATTAGTTCAGACTTTAATACGTGGTTTCAAGCAGCTTTCCACAGTATGTCTTTTGTTAAAATAAAATAAAGCAAATCATTGCTCCATCTTCGTAAATCAATGCATGTGGAATAAAGGTGGCTCACACCTGACCAAGGGTTCTTTCCATTTACTGCATTTTTTTCTACAGGGGATAGTATCAGCAGCAGTTTTCTTCTCTTGGGTCACCTTCTGTTCTGCACTGCTTTGGTGGGAGAACCATGACTTGTCAGCATGTCAGCCACCAGACTTACAAAGGAAGAGCATCAGCATTTCATGTGCTTCACCCTGTAGCTCCATTACTGACGGTTTTGCAGCCCCCTGCCAGGAATCACACGTCCTGCAGACCAGAAGCACAGGCACTTGAAAGGGCCCACTAGTATTACAATTTGGTGTGATGAGTCTCCAAACTGAGGCTCGCCAGACCTTCCTATACAAGCTAGCTCAGTAGCTCACAAGTTTCACCTGACAACCATTATACTCACCTCCTTTGTTCTCTTTTCAACAGAAGGAGGTATCATAAAATACATGGCAGGTGTATTGTATTGACACAGTGATGAAAGCAGTGACTGCAATAGAAAAGATTAAACATATAATGTACATTTAGGCTCAGATAATTTTACTTGATGAAAAAACAGTACTTTCAAGAAATATATTTCTCTAGGTTACTGGTGATAGGCAAGATTTCATCATGCACTTGGTGTTTAACCTCCTGGTGACCATGTTGGTAGGACCCACTGGTGCATTTCAGACCCTTTCACAGCTAGTAAGCTTTTAAGCACCTCAAAACAGTGGTTACTGGGAGAGAGTTGCCACTGTTTCTGCACTGGAAAGGTTTCTCGTTTTCCTTTATCAGGCCTTTAATTGCTTGTGATGAACAACTACATCTCACTGATGGCTGCTGCCACATGTGGCTGACACCCCCAACTCCGAGCTGCTGTGCAGCAGAGCAGTGTGGCTCTGGGGACAAGCCCTGTGGAGCAGACTGGAACCAGTAAGGACCCAGTAATGCCCAGTTTGGTACATGCATCTGTTTCAACTGGCTGTGCCTGTTAGGACAATGCACAGATGAGCGGCCAGCCCTGGGGAAGGGGATCAGGGGATGCCACAGTGCAGGGGCAGTGTGGCTCTGCAGCAGGAGCTGCTGCCCAGCACCTGCCTCAGCCCATCTCCTGGCTTGGCCCGTGACCGTCCTGGGGGCTGGCAGCACCCCAGCACACAGCTCCGTGCCTCTGGCTGGTGGGAGTGGGATCTCTCCCTGGTTCTCAGCATGTCTGGGGTGGAGGTGCTGGGCTCCCAGGAACCGGAAGCCGCTGGGACATGCACGGAGGACATCCCCTCCATTAAGGAAATTGAGCAGCTCCTGAGCACCGGGGGGCCCTCTTGCAACCATGTTGATGAAGTATGGCCTAATCTCTTCTTAGGAGACCTGTAAGTACAGCTTTACAGACATACCTCTGCCATACATTCTGTCTCTTAGTATGCCTCATAGGTGCAGCTTTAGACAGTGTTGCTAATTGCTGTCATTTACACAAGCAGACAGCACAGTTTCTGAGAGAAAATTATGACTAAGCTGGTACTGTCTTTTTGGTTAGCCCTTAGAAACAATGCATGGGCGAACGCTCCAGCAAATGGCTTGGGAGATGCAATTGCAGCACTTTCTGCTCCATGATTATCTCTGCACCCATCTCAATTTGTCTTTGTCTTTTCCTTAGAGTAACAGCTCACAACAGATTTGTTCTGTGGAAGATGGGTGTGACCCATGTTCTAAATGCTGCCCACGGCACAGCATACAGCCACGGAGGCCAGGACTTCTATGGAGCGACCATTGATTATTACGGTGTACCAGCCCATGACCTCCCAAGCTTTGATATAAGCCAGTTCTTTTTCTCTGCAGCACAATTTATCCATAATGCCTTGAAGACACCAGGAGGTATGCAATTATTGTTGGTCACATTTTCATGCGAGTAGACAGCCTCTAGTAACAGGTCAGCTCCACAAGCTCAGTGGTGGACAAGTCACTACATGGTTTCCTGCCAGCTGCTGGTCACCTGCACGCAGGGTGTCAGGAGGAGGGAGTGCTCTGCTATGTGGATGTAGCTCTAACTAGGTCCCAGAAAGCTGATGTGAGAAAAGGGATGAACAGTGTACGAAAGAGACTGGGGCAGGGAGGAGAGGAGGTAAGGAGAAAAATATCTGGAAGGAAAGGCTGGTTCAAAAAGGAAGAAGCAAAAACATGCATGTTGTAGATGCCCCATCCCTGGAAGCGTTCAAGGCCAGGCTGGATGGGACTTTAAGTAACCTGGTCTAGTGGAAAGTGTCCCTGCCCATGGGAAGGGGGTTGGAACTAGACGACTTTAATGCCCATTCCAACCCAAACCATTTCATGGTTCTATGCATTTAAAATGGATGCCCTCTTTTAAGACTCTCTTATGGCAACTGCGTTTGTAAGAACAAATGAAGAGACAGAAATCCTGATTTTTACAGCCACCAACCATAGGAAGAGGCTCATATATTGCAGGTTTGCTGCTTGCATGATCAGGGCCTGCAGGGCTGTGCCCCCAAAGAGAAGATTTACCTTTACCTAAAGAGATCTATAGTGGGTTGCACAACAGACTGAGCTTCTTGGCTCTGGTGCAATAAAATACTAATTAACCTGTATTACATAAAAGAACATTTCTTAGCATAAGCAAACTGGCATTGATGGACCTGTCTCAGTCTCTATCACAAGTTCTGCCTTCAAAAGGGAATTACAGTGGCAGCTGATTGCCTTATTATGCAATGGTACTCGGCCAGTCGTTTTTCTTGGTGGCTAATGTGTTAGTGCAATCCTTTCAGGCCAGATTTTAGCACTCCTCTTCACCTAAGAAAGCCCCTGTGAAACCAATGGGTCTGATTTTCATCTAGTTCACAACAGAACAACTTCATTACTTCAACAGGATTTTATTTGATTTGCCTGTGTTTCTGAGATCAGGCTGGAATCTCATGGCACTTCTCATGCAAGTGAGTGTAACGACTGCAAATTAGACTTAATTGTTGCAGTTCGTGTGATCTATCAGAAGGGTAAGAAATATATCATGCTTGCGGTGTTACTCTGACCAAGCTGGAGAAGGCAGAAGAGGTTTGCTTTCCCTTTAAATTGAACTTCATACACTGTACTGCTTCTCTTCTATGGTTATATATATATATATTTTATTTTTTTTCTTAACCAGCTAAAATTTTGGTCCATTGTGCAGTTGGAGTAAGCAGGTCAGCTTCCCTAGTCCTAGCATACCTGATGATAAATCACCACCTCCCATTGGTTGAAGCCATCAAAACAGTGAAAGAACACCGATGGATTTCACCCAATCGTGGCTTTCTGAAACAGCTGCGAAACCTGGATGTTCAGCTGCGGCAAAAGAAGGACTGCTGAAAGGGCAAAACCATTTACATTCACTTCTCTGAATTTCAGCCTTCATAGCCATTGTGTACATACAGCTTCCTATGCTCGATGCATATTAAAAAAGTCAATGGAACTGTAAATGGATTAATTCTGATATCTTAGTTTCTCCAAGAGCAGAACAGCCAAAATCAGCACCGTAAAGCACTGTGTGCTGCAGAGCCTAGCATAGCACTACCAGATGACTCCACTGGAGTGGTTAAGACGGACAGAGTTTGTTGCTGGTTTTTGCTAATGCCAGAAGCAAGTTCAGTAGTTGCCTGTAGCTGTACAGTATGCTCACATGCCCTTTACTTTGGAGTGTAACATAACCAGTTTCCTTGGTTTGGTTACAGTTCTCATGTGCATGTTCTCACAAGAAAAGCTTTCTGTGTTTCAAGCCTGGTGACATGGTGAGGACAATTTCTTAAAAGCACAGGCATTGCTACAGCAACATTCCTTTTTCAGTGGTCTGCTAAATACTACAGACCTACTACAGAAAGCTGGGACAGCCTGAAGACCCGCACCAGCAAAATGAACTTGTGTGCAGCTCTGTCTACAGTGTCTGGGTCAGCAAACCTACAAACCTTTCCTTGTGTAAATACGTTTTCAGCTAGATAATGTATATTATGCAGTATATTGAGGACATTAAAAAAAAAAAAGTCAGATCTTCAAAGCATTTTGTAAGCTCATTAGTTCACTCTCCCTCCATATTATCCTAAATCAGTTCTGTGTAAGTGGCTTTGAATCATCCCTGATTTAACATCAGGTAGCATATAATAACTTCGCTTACGTCAATGGCAAGGCTTAATTGATACAAATTAGTTTTAAGCTGTTTTGAGGATGTCACTTTTCCTATCACCAGTAAATTGGTACTTAAACCAATGTGATACTTCATGCAGCAACAGCTGTATTTGAAATTCATGCTACTACTCTGCCTGAAAATTAGCTTGTTACCTTGTAATGAAACAAGAAGTGATAATCAAATCTATTTTTGCACTTTGCCACTGGTTTGATTTATTGATTAGCTGACCTTATAAGCCTTCCCCGTCAGATTAAATACATTTGTGCTTGTTTGCCTTTGAAGCATCAGTTCTGAACATTTTCCTCTTTGCTGAGAGAGACTTGCAAGGTTCTTAGAAAACTTAAATAGTGGTAACTTCTGAGTTAAAACTCTTCCTCCCCAGACCCCCTATCCTCTTTAATTCTTGGAGAGGTGATAGCATGAATACTGGTACTGCCTAGCGCATATGGGAATGTAGAAATCCCTCCCTATTTCGGTGTACACAAATGCTTTGCAAAATACGCAGATTTAAGATCCTGTCACAGGTCTAATTTGATGGTCCAGATTTTCCAAGATGTTGCCAAAGAGCAAAGAGAAAAAGAAGACATTGTAGTGTAAAAAGATCAAATAGAAAATCATATTTAAAGCCCAACAGTGCTAAGACAATCTTTATACCTCACAAAGCAGCAGAGTGGTGGTGGAGGAGGAGCTGGGTTTGCTTTGAAGTTCTCCATTAGAGTTAATAGGGATTTATATGAGTTAATGTTTCATTATAATTTATACTTCGTTCACGTTACAGTAGGTTGGAGTCTGGAAACCTTTTCAAGACATGGCATTGAAAAATCTGAAATTCACATGAGTGAAATAATGCATTTTAATGGTTTTAGGCTGGGCAAAATTAGACACATGTGAGCAAGATTAATTGACACCCCCCCAGCAGGATAATGCTTTACATGCTCCTGAACATCTGTCCCACAAGCCACAGCTGTGAAAGCTGCTCCTATTGTAAATTAGTACCTGCTCTCAGAGATACTGCTCATCCTGGGAGAGTGTTGTTTCATCAGGGGTAGAGAAGAGTACAAAGCTAAGCTGAGTCAGTATAGCGTCTATGCCACCAATGACATGGTAGTGATCTTGTACAGCAAGACTTACTCACCCCAGTGGAGGGAAGGAATTAGTTAGAAATGCTTTTCAAGGGCACTGGCAAATCACAGAAGTGTTTTTTTATCTGTGGAGTTAGTATTGTCTATATTTCCTGCCTCGCTGTATTGCTCCGTTCCTTATATACAGTTTAAATTTGGCTCCAGGTCTGCTCAGGGAAAAAGATTCTAGTTAACATAAGCAAAAAGACTGCTCAGGAAAATATTTCAGTCAACATAAGCAAAAGCAGTAGAATTAGTCCTGTAACTTCGCAAAACAGAAAATATTGTCTGCTGTGATGTGCTAGGAGGAAAAGGGACCTTCTCACCTGTCACATATACTACCCATAGTTTAAGTCATGATGTGATTTGACATCAGTTCTTCACTGTTTTCCATTATCAGTGGGAAAACCTGTATTTCAAATATTGGTTTGGCAAGTTAGACTAAGGAACCAAAACAAGAGAAAAATACTGCTTCACCAGTGGTACTTTCTTCAGAAAACGTACATCTGTCAACAGGGCCTACACAACCCAGGAGACTAAAATGAATGTCAACTCCTAGCTGAGGGAGGGACCTTAAGAAAGATATTGAAGTACCTAAAGGTAGGCTGAGTACCTGCAGAGTAGACCAAAGCACCTAGGTTCATGCAGCGGTGCCTGCATGCCCTCTGAGGAGCCTGCAGGAACTGTCAGTCCTGCAGATCCAGCCTGACAAGAAGCTGATTACCTTCCATCTCCTCTGAAACAGGCACATAGGCCTTCCTGCCCAGGCTTACCTTGTCATGGGGTCTTTCTTTAGTCTGTTCTTGCATCTCATAAAGCCCACAGTAGAGTGTGTGCGGTTCAGGAGTGACCTCCTCCTGTGAGAAAGGACCATGCCAGAACGAAAAGCTGGACCTCCTCTGAAGACTATCTGAAAAACAATTTGTTGTTCTTTTGAGAGCAATTTTCATTGAGACCCAGCTCCTGAGCCACCTTACCAAGTGGGTAATGAGGACTAGTGCCAGCTCAGCACTAGTGTGTTGAGCTGTGTGTGAGTGTGTGTCTGTGAGCAGAGAGTACAGTGAAAGGGAGTGTCCCAGCTACAGCTGACATATATCTGCTTAAAGCAATCACAAAACCACAGTGTCGCCTGAAGTCAGCCATGTAAAATTCCACTGGAAACTTCCCTTAGTTTTATTTTCTGCTACAAGAACTCAGGGAATCAGATGAAGTCAGTAGAATCCAGGTCTGAAACAAGATGAGGTGTTTAGGTGAGCTGTGTAATGCCTTGCCACAGGATGTTGCAGAAGGCAAAAACTTATAAATGTTCCCAGGGTACCTAGAAAAGTTTATGGGACAGAAATACAGTCAGGGTTACCAAATACTTAGAAACTCCCTCCATATCAGGAAGCTCATGAGCTGCAGCCAACTGGAAGCTGGGTGAGTGTTCGAAAGCAGTGTAATTTATCATATATGTTTGTGTGTTCTTATTTTCTGTAGGCATCCACTTACAGCCACAGTCAGGCACAGGACAGTGCACTCGATGGACCTTTGGTAAGGCCCAGAACAGCTGCTGTCATGGTCTTTATTTTGAACTCACCTCTAAGATGAGCTGTCCCCTCTTTCCCGGTAGCTTATTATTAGAACTGGGTCACATGAGACATTTGGGACTGCATCTCAGTTGCACTGACCGACATTTCTTTCACAGGGAAAGCTCTATGCTGGCAGGCACACCAATACAGCTTATGTGGGGAGGGGAGTAGCAGGGGTTTTGTGTAAGATTTGCTTAATGCAGAATCTTCATTTTCATGGCTGTTCGCCATTGCATCAGGGAGGTAGCTCTGAGCTAATCTGGGGAGGCGTCAAGGCGCATGCTGTATTTAGAGACAGCCACCTGCTTGGGAACGTCAAGCAGCAGCAAAGAGCACGCTTCAGCAAAAATAAAATCCTCTGTGGATTCTGCAGCAGCAGCACCCAGCAGGCTCTCTCTCCCCTGCCTAAATCCTAAATCTCTGTGTGGCCACCAAAGGGGTCAGCACCCGAAGACGGTCAGATCTTGTCAGCCCAGGAATGCTCTGAGCCTGGCTCTCCTTCTGCCCAGGAACTGCCAGATATTTTGGACAGCTGCGATGTGGAATGAAATCACATGGGTGAAGAATGGCCTAATCTCTACATAGGCAATATGTAAGTGTTATTTGAGGCTGTGCTGTTCTGAAGGGCTGGGGAATACAGTACTGGTTAACATATGCTGTCCAACTACTTTATTTAGTTAGCTTGCTAGACTTCGTTGCCTTAAAATAGGCTTACAATTAGCATAGAAGTAAGCCGAGAAACTATCTTTCAAAGAAATAACCTACAGAACAGAATAAAATTAATTAAAAAGAGACTAAAACTTTCCTTACTGCTTTGCTTATAATTATTCAACATACAGATTTTATAAATGCTGCAACATTTACCATATAAATCACAAGGCAGACTCATGATCCTGAACGGCGTAAAATTGAACTATGATTGGGTTTTACTTTTTCAGTTTGATTTTAACTAGAATAGAATTTTTCACAGAAGAAAAGCGTTCTACTTTTTGCTGTTTGTATTACAACTTGATTTGCAGTTGAAATTTCTTACAAAAAATATATGGATGCTCTGAATGACAACAGACTTGTGTGGATGATTGTTTTGCTCTGGAGCATGGAGAAAGCATGCAGTCATCTGCACTCAACATGCCTAATGCCAAATGTTATACCAAAACAAGTTCATTCCACCACCAGCAGGTTGCAAACTTGTTGAAATATCAGCAATCAGTAACTCCTAAATGAGCAAAGCAGGAGGCACTAGCGATACTTTGGCTAATTGGACATTACAGGCTAATTGTGGTTATTCTTTTAGCTATGAAAAAGCAAAGCCTAAAAATGATTCAGATGACTGGGAAATAACGTGCGTTTACAAAACTTGGTTTTAGGAATTACAGCCTGCTTCCTAATCTCACTGTGGTTCTAATCAGGAGTGTGACACCCTGCAGATGAGCCATGTGCACCGGGGGTGGGTGGCTGCCCACTGGTAGGCTCTGGTGGACACGCAGAAACATGGTT